ATTTAGCTCGAACCAGAGAAAATTACAGCCCCTCAACAATGAGTTGAACTTCTATTAATTTGCTGAACCAAAAAAAATACTCTATTAATCTATGAGAATCTCCATAATTGTACAATATACTCAATTTGAATTCTAAATCCTAAACAAAAGATACACAAACAAAATTTAGAAAGTTTTCTTGCTCTTATTACTATTTTCATAGTGATAATAATAATTTCTACCCCTATGATTACTACTAGCATTAGAATTTAAATGATAATATTTAGACCCCTTATTTTTTCTCATAAAATAACCAAGTCCCTTCCAAAACCAACGCCTTTTTTTAGAAGAAACCCCTGTCACGTGACTCACGTGGTGGCTCTTCGTTGTACTCCTCACCAGCCCCCGGACCTCCGGCGGCCGGTAGTTTCTGATCAACGGCCACTTGATCCCGTCGAAGAACGGGTGCCGTTTAATATCCTGCGCTCCTCTCGCGCACCCTAGCCTTCGTCGTGGATCCTTCACCAGCAGTCTCTCTATCAAATCCTTCGCCTCCGCAATGCCTGCCTCTTCTCTCACCACCAGATGATGGAAGCTTACCTGCCGGCTCGATGCTATATTGCGGAGGGTGCTCTCTTTACTCCCTCCCTTGAACGGCGTGGTTCCGTACATTAACTCGTAAATGAACACCCCGAAAGCCCACCAGTCAACGCCGTTGCCGTGGCCGTTACCCGAGACCAGCTCCGGCGCTAAGTACTCGTGTGTTCCGACGCACGACCGCGAGTACGCCGCCACTGGCTCCGCCGCAAACTCCGGAACGACCTTCTCACATTCCGTTGTGGTACTCGCGCGAAAGCAACCGCCTCCGCATCTCCTGCGATGGGTGACGCTTCTCTTGTGGAACCGTACCGTGGGGACCACGTCAGATTTGAAGCACAAATCGAAATCTGACAACATAATGTGACCGTCGCCTCGGAGCAAAACGTTCTCCGGTTTGAGATCCCGGTAGACGATCCCGAGCGCGTGCAAGTACTCCAGCGCCACCAAAACCTCGGCGGCGAAAAATCGAACCGCCTGGAGCCGAAACCGATTGCTAGGCTGCTTTCGGAGAAGGGAGTGGAGGTCACCGTTGGGGCAGTAGTCGATGAGGAGACAGGTGTAGTGAGATGCATGGATGTGAGCGTAGAGCGTCGGGAGAAAAGGGTGGTCTAACACGGAGAGAATCTCGGCCTCCGTCTGCACATGAGAAAGCTTTTTATTGCTCAGAGTGTCCCTGTCGATGACCTTGAGGGCGAAACTGGCAGAACTCCAGTCTCTCAAATGGCAGAGAAAGACTCGGCCGAGATTCCCGGTACCGAGGTGCTTAACGAGCTTGAGGTGGCGGAGGTGGAGCTTTCCGTCAGAGGATAAGTTGGTGGCGGCCTTGATGGCAGACCAATGAGGGTCCCATTTGCGGTGGTGGAGGCTGCAGGTGGATACAACACTATTATTACTGCTAGTTCCAATATTAGTGGTGGAAGCAGTGGAGAGCTGGTCGTTGAAACTAAGGGTGAGGGAGGAGCGGGCGAGACTAGAGCGGGCACTGGAGGATGCGAAGGTTCGGTCGGTGGCGGTGGAGGTGAAGCTGAGGTCAAGATCGGTGTCAGGGAAGTAGTAAGAACTAGAATTGTCTTGATCCTCCATGGCCAATGATTTGATAGTTTTGTAAACATGTCAAGGGCCAAGGGTGATTATAAAGGGGAGAGGATAAAAAGAGGAGTTGGGTATGAAGAAATAGATGAGGAGTTCGGTTGACCAAACTGTAGAAGGGAGGAAGTAATGTACCTCAATATTTTATTTTATTTTATTTTATTTTTTTTGACCAGGTAGATGGTTAGAAAGTTAGTAGAGTTAGTTTGTTAACGGTTGGAATTTTTTCAGGAAAGTGAACCGTTCACCCCTCATTTGAGACGTGCGACCATTAGGTCGCAAGTTGATGGAGTTCACGGCGGTGGTAGAGCTCGAAACCTTTACTTCCATCTCACCCAAACCCTAAAACTTGGGGGCCAACCAATTGAGCCATAGCCCAGTTGGCACCTCAATATTTTGTTTACCAAAAAAGAAATCAACTTTTAATATTAAAACGTTTATCATAATTATTTGGTAAGTGAGTTTTGAATTGATGTTAAGATATTTCATCATAATTATTTATTGAATGAATCTTTAATTGAAATTAACTTAATAAATTGTTATGATGAGGCGCTCTAACATCAAAATATTTTTATTTTTGGGATTCTATTTTATTTAAATCATGTAAATTTTATTTTGGTTGATATTTATAAAAATTTTAAATAATTAATTATAATTAAATTAATTTTAATTTATTAAATAATAAATATTAATTATTTTATTATTTATTAATTATTTTTTTTTATCATTATGTTAAATAAAAACTAATATTTTTAAATAATGTTATGTAATCTTAATGTGAATGTGTAGTTATAATCATGATATATTGGAGGGAAGGTATTCAATTGCATGCAGAAGGAAAAAATGGAGACAGGGAGACAAGCGAAGGTGGTAGGTTGACTCTGCGTTAAAAAAATGGTGCATGGAACATGGGAGAGTTTGTATTGGGGATTTGAGGGGGGCGGGGGGAGGGAGAGAATAGAGATGGAAGGCGCGGTGGCATGGGGAAATGTGAGGTTGGTAAAAATACAGATAGAGAGGAAGGGAGATGGAGGAGTGAACGGCGCTACCCGGCGGAGTGTGTGACGCGAACGTGATTGCCTTTGTATTACGTTTGCCACTTTGACTTTAATCTCTCCGTTAGATAAATTGATTACTTTTAGTTTTGGATCTTCTAATTTTGTCTAGCCTAGTGGGTTGTAGTAGTAGTTGGGTTAAGTTTGATTTAATTTTTGTCATCTTGCTAAAATTGTTCGGCTTGATCAGAATTAGTGTCTATTCATTAAACAAATCTCCTTTTATCCGTTGCTGGCATGCATGCCTTGGATCATGGAATATTTTGATGTGTCTTTAAAATATATATTAAGAATATAAATATTTTATTTCTTATTATTAATTTATAAAAAAATAAATTATTATTTAAAATTTATTAATTATTTAATTAAATTATTTTATGTGATAATATTAATATTAAAAATAAAATTTATTTTTATCTTTTTAAATTTATATTAAAAAATAATTACAATTATCATAAAAGGATAGAGAGATCAATAACCTATTGAGTGAAAAAAATTTAATTTTTTTAAAATAAGATTATGAATTTAAATTTTATAAATAAAAAAATAAAAATTAAGAAAATTTTTTTATATGAAATTTGATTTATTTTAAATTAATTAAAGTTTAATATAATTTTAAAATATTAAAAAATAATAAAAAAATAAAAAGGTGAGGGAAAGTGAAGGCGAGGATGCAATTAATAATGGGAGACAGCTTGCAGAAAGTTGGCAATGGTAGTTAACGACTTTTACACTTATTATTGCGCTCAAACACCATGCATACTTATTAATGTAAACTTATCCATGTCATGAATAATAAGCATTTGGAGGTCCGCGCCTTGTTTTTTTTTTCTCAGGGCTAGCCTCTTAAATGATCGTATAGGAAGTACTAGCTATCCCTGTTCTGTTTTATTCAGAGATTTTTTTGTCCAGTGGTTAAAGCAAGTGTCGCCTTTTCTCTTCTACTAATTAAGACTTTTGTCCAATGTTTGAAAGGTGTGTAGAGTTTGTGGAAAATAATGTTGTATAGGAAAATTTCCATTTTGAATGCTCTTTTTTTTTTTTTTCTCTTCTTTGGTAAATCATTTCGGATAGTTTTATATATCAAATATGCATTGTTCCTTTCTTCACAACTTGATAGTATCAAACAAAAATAATTCTTTCCTTTCTCATTTCTATGAAATAACCATTTCTAAAATGGTATTAATTGAAATTTAAAATATATGTGTTATATAATTTTTCGTTTTAAAATGTATAATGAGAGGAATTTTTTTAAAATTTTTTTAATTTTATTTATATATATAATTTAAATTCAAAATCACTTAATAAAAAAAAATTTAATTCCTTCCATAGAAAGAAAAATCCATCTTTTTTTTTTCTTCACTTCTAGGACCAATATCATTATTTTCAATTGATAAACAAGCATTTCAACTTTCAGCTTATTATCTTTTGTGTGAACTACTACCACTCTTTCCATGCATACAGCTGTCGAATTAATGATGAATATATGTACCTCACCTACTACTCTGTACGTAGTGCAATGCAAGAGGATTTTAATTTTATTATAAATTATTTCTTTTTAAACCTATACAGACAAAAGAAGTCCACCAAAAGAATTCCTTCCAACAAAACAACTAATTGATTTTTTGTTTTTTTAATCTAATAAATAATTAGATAATAAATAAAAACTTTTTTCAAATATAAATTTTGT